CTGTGCCGGCGGCGCGCACGTGGGGGGCGGGGGGCCGACATCGAGGAGGGGGAGGAGGGAGGAGGGGCCCATCCTGAGGGGAGGAGGGAGGAGGAGGAGCGTGGGGGTGGGGGGGAGGTTCAGGAACGAGGGGAGGAGGAGGAGAGAGTCAAACAGCATGGAGGACAGGGATCTGAGATAGAGGAGCACTGGAACAACTTCGGCGCGTTCGGGCCCCGAGGGCCCTGCCGTCCAGAAGCGGCTCAGGATGACGAGCTGGTTCTGGGGAGCGCCCCGGGGGCCTAAGACCCGTTCCGATACATCTTCCGATCTGATGTCTGAGGACAGAATTTCATACCCCCCACGCCGGTCCTGGCACCCCCTGGCGCCCCCAGGTGGTCGACGACACTCTGATATCAGGGGTGATGGAGGGAGGGAGGAGGGAAGGAGGGAAGAGGGGATGAGGGGAGGAGGGGGTGGAGGGGATGAGGGGAGGAGGAGGGAGGAGGGAGTGGCGAGAGCGAGAAGGGAAAGAACTGGAATCAGGGGGGGAGAGAAGGAGGGAAGGAGGGATGCAGGAGGGGGCGGAGGAGGACACAGGAGAGGAGGGGAGGAGAAGAAGATGAGGGAAGGAGGGAATGAGGAGGGACGAGGGAAGGGAGGGAACGAGGAGGGAGGGTGGGCGCGGGAGGAGAGGAAGCGAGGGAAATATCGCGAGGTAGTGGGGTGCGAGAGGAGGAGCGGGGGAAGGAGTGAGGGGAGGAGTGAGAAAGGGGTGAGGGGAAGAACGGATGGGAGAGAGGTGCGAGGGTACGGGCAATATAGGAGGAAATGAGCGTGGGGGCGAGGTGAATGGGGGACGGGACGGGAGGAGCGGGGAGTGCGGAGCGAGGATGGATGGGGCAAGCGAATGGAGGAATGAGGGCGGGGAGGAGGTGAGCGGGTAAGGTGACGAGGGATAGGAGGAGGAGGAGGAGCGACAGGTGATGCTGGGGGAGGGACCCCCACCCCGTGTCCCCGCAGCGCCCCCGAAGGAGCGCCACAAGCGCACCTAAATGCGCTATTTCGGTGACCCAAAACGATCGAGGGTATCTTGGGGGGAGGCCCGCCGCGCTCGAGACATCCCCCCAACACGCTCGGATTTCTTACCCCCCATCCCGGTCCCGGCAGCACCCTCCAGGGCCTCCGAAAGAGCTCCCGCGGGGAGTCCCCAGGAGCGCCGCGGGGAGGGGCGCCGCGCTCGAGACGTTCCCCCTAAACCCTGGTCCCGGCAGCACCCCCCATCCCAGTCCCGGCAGCACCCCCCAACCCCCACCCCAGTCCCGGCAGCAACCCCCACCCCAATCCCCGGGGGCCTCTTGGAGGTCTCCTGGGAGCCTCTTGGAAGCCCCCAGGAGGCCCTGGGAGCCTCGGAAGGCCTCGGAAGCCCTCCGAAGCCATGGCAGGCCCTGGGAGGCCCTCGGAACCCAGGACCCCCCAAGGATCCCCAAGGCGTTCCAGGGAAACGACTAACTAACGAGTGACCAGCACTTCCCCACCGTCAGCATCCGATTCTCGGATCCCTCCATTTACCTCACCTCCTTATCCCAACCTCGGATCACTCTACTTACCTCGCCCTCCTCAAAACTTCCATATCCCCCACCAGGATGAGATGAAAGGATGAAGAGGGGGAGGACGAGGAAGAGGAAAGATGAGAGGGAAGGGCGAGGAAGAGGAAGAGCGGAGAAGAAATGAGAAGTGAGTGTGGAGCTGGGCAACGCGCGCGCAAGCCAATGCAATGCAACGCAACGCAACGCCACGCAATACAACCCAATGCAATGAACGCAATGAGCACACATACTCTGTTTTTGGCCCTGGAGGTTTTTTTGGAACCCGGCACCGTTACCACGGAGGGTGGTATGTTATCCTGTAGTGAATTGAAGCAAGAATCATGAGGCTGTGGTTCGTGGTACCCAGTGGCCCTGTGCTGTGGCCTCCTGCTTATTAGAAGTGAATGTTGCTCCAGGCTCTGAGTTTGACCGTTTGCTCACATGTACTCTCCCTGTTCATCAGAATCATCATCAGCAGCAGCATCAGCATCAGCATCAGCATCAGCATCAGCATCAGCAGCACCATCATCACCATCATCGTAATCATCGTAATCATCGTCATCACCATCATCAAAATTATCATCAGCAGCATCACCATCATCATGGTCCTCTTGCTCTTGCTGGCTGCCGTTCGTCCATCTCCTTCCCGTTTCCATTATTCTATCACTCATATCCCTCCCTCCCTCCCTCTCTCTCTCTCCCTCTTCCTCTCCCCCGCCTCCCCCGTCCTCCATCCACCACCCCGCGAGGCGTGGCGAGGAGAGGCGAGGGGAGGAAAGGAACGGGAGGGCAGGACGGGGGACAAGGGAAGGCAGGGGAGGCGAGGCGAGGAGGGGAGTCGGACGCGAGAGTGGGGTGGAATGGAAGGGAGTGGGAGGGGCGGAGCGGGACGGCAAGGGGAACGGAGGGAGGGGAGGGAGAGAGGCAGGAAGCATTGGGGAGGTTGCCTGTCCGCGCCCGCGCGCATGCCTGCTCGCCTGTCTGCCCCGAGAGGGCCCTAAGATAGCCCGCAGCTCCACGATGGGTTTCCGGGGCCTCCTGGGAGTAGGACTCCAGACTCTAACCCTCGGACCCGGGTTTGCTTAAATATGCCGTCTGAGCGGACGTCGCCGCCGCCGCCGATCAAACGTCGAGGTGGTCGAACATTGTCGACGATTCTGGCCTCTTCTGGGCCTCCGGAGGCGGCCTCCAGGGGCGACTTCCAGAGACCTTCGGATGGGGGTCGAGGATCGAGGCTCGAGGATCGAAGCTTCGGGGAGCTGCAAATCCTTTCTGGGCCTCGGCGGGGGCGCCCGCGGCTGGATCCGCCTCGAGATTCTGGCCAGAAAGCGCCCCGGGACAGGGCCCAGGGGTCGTCGTCGTCGTCGTCGTCGACGTCGACCGTCGTCGTCGGTCGTCGGTCGTCGATCGTCGGTCGTCGGTCGTCCGTGTCGTCGGTCATCCATCGTCGTCGGTCGTCGTCATCGTCTATCGTCGGTCGTCCTCGTCGGTCGTCGGTCGTCGCCGTCGGTCGCCGCCGGTCGCCGTCGGTCGTCGTCGTTTCGGTCGTCGTCGTCGTCGGCGTCGTCGTCGTCGTCCTTGTCCTGGTCCTCGTACTCGTCCTCGTTCCCTCGTCCTGTCCACCGTCGTGCGTTGTCCGTTGTCGTCGCGTCGTCCGTCGTCGTCGTCGTCGTATGTCGTTGTTCGTCGTCGTCACGTCGCGCGTCGTCGTCGCGTCGTCCGTCATCGTCGTCGTCGTCCATCGTCGTCGTCGTCGCGTCGTCGTCGTCGTCGTCGTCGTCCGTCGTCGTGTTCGTCATCGTCCTCCGTCGTCGTCGTCGTCGTGTCCAGCCGAGGTGACGGAGGGAAAAACGAAAACCGACCACTTTCGAACGAAAGTGGTCGGTTTTCCCGGCGGCGAGAACTGGCCACCGCGACAGAGGATGTGAAGGCGGGCCGGCGACCGGGGCCGACCCCCCCCACATGTCCTGCTCGGATATCCGAGCAGAGGATGTGAAGGTGGGCCAGCGGCCGGGGCCGACCCCCATTCACATGTCCTGCTTGGATATCCGAGCAGAGGATGTGAAGGCGGGCCGGCGGCCGGGGCCGACCCCCTTCACATGTCCTGCTCGGATATCCGAGCAGAGGATGTGCAGGCGGGCCGGCGGCCGGGGCCGACCCCCTTCACATGTCCTGCTCGGATATCCGAGCAGAGGATGTGCAGGCGGGCCGGCGGCCGGGGCCGACCCCCTTCACATGTCCTGCTCGGATATCCGAGCAGAGGATGTGCAGGCGGGCCGGCGGCCGGGGCCGACCCCCTTCACATGTCCTGCTCGGATATCCGAGCAGAGGATGTGCAGGCGGGCCGGCGGCCGGGGCCGACCCCCTTCACATGTCGTGCTCGGATATCCGAGCAGAGGATGTGAAGTCGGCAACCCCTGCCGCCTGCCCCCTTTGGCCATCGCAAGAGCGCGCGCGCAGAGTGGCTCGGGCTGGCGGCCGAGGCCGCTTCCCTCCACATGTCCTGCTCGGATATCCGAGCAGAGGAGAGAATGCGCGAAGTTGCTGAAGGCGCCGTGCCACAGCAGCGCCGAGCAAGATCCGCAGCATTCGCAAGCAATTCAAGACATGACTGGAGGGGCCCCGACGACCCACTTCACATCCACTGCTCGGATGTCCGAGCAGAGGATGTGAAGGTGGTCTGATCCAGCATTCGGCCTCCATGACCATGCAGAAAACGTCCCGGGGCATCGGCGGCAATGGTCATGGAGGCCGAATGCTGGATCGGCCATCCGAGCAGGACATGTGACTGGGGTCGGCCCCGGCCGCCGGCCCGCCTTCACATCCTCTGCTCGGATATCCGAGCAGGACATGTGAAGGGGGTCGGCCCCGGCCGCCGGCCCGCCTTCACATCCTCTGCTCGGATATCCGAGCAGGACATGTGAAGGGGGGCGGCCCCGACCGCCGGCCCGCCTGCACATCCTCTGCTCGGATATCCGAGCAGGACATGTGAAGGGGGTCGGCCCCGGCCGCCGGCCCGCCTGCACATCCTCTGCTCGGATATCCGAGCAGGACATGTGAAGGGGGTCGGCCCCGGCCGCCGGCCCGCCTTCACATCCTCTGCTCGGATATCCGAGCAGGACATGTGAATGGGGGTCGGCCCCGGCCGCTGGCCCGCCTTCACATCCTCTGCTCGGATACCCGAGCAGGACATGTGAGGGGGGTCTGCCCCGGTCGCCGGCCCGCCTTCACATCCTCTGTCGCGGTGGCCAGTTCTCGCCGCCGGGAAAACCGACCACTTTCGTTCGAAAGTGGTCGGTTTTCGTTTTTCCCTCCGTCACCTCGGCTGGACACGACGACGACGACGACGGAGGGCGATGACGAACACGACGACGGACGACGCGACGACGACGACGACGATGGACGACGACGACGATGACGGACGACGCGACG